AAACGAATTATAGAACTCAAGTTATGAGATTTTAACCAACAAAGACCAACCAGGCATCATGCCTGTGTCCTTATAACCAACAAAGACCAAAGTTCAGACCTAATACCTAACGCACCTTCAACTTGGATTTTACAGAACAATTTTTTTGATAATATGAAAAATTAAATAGGGGATTTACGTTTAGGTCATAAATAGTGAATTTATTGCCTATGACAATTAATGATATTTTTACCAAACACTATTAAAAAACGTCACTAATTATTAATTTTCAATAACAGTATGAAATTTTGTCAACAAAATATTATAATTATAAGTTTTAGCGATAGTTGAAAAAATGGTCACAAAAAGCACTAATTTTCAACTTTCAATGACAGTTTGAAAAATTCGTCACAAAAAATATCTCTAATTGTAAGTTTTTAGCGACAATTTATAAAAAATCATGACAAAAAAGTCACTAATTGTCAATTTTTAGGCGACATGCAAAAAATCATTATAAAAAATTAATTTTAGTAAACAATTTTATTAAAACTTATTTTTAATAGGACTTGATGAGAAATAAATCTAATTATTAGGACCTATTGATAGTTTATCCAATTAAATATCTTAGGTTTACTTAAATTATAAATTATTCTCTTAGTTTTTAGAAATTACATTATGCCCCTAAGTTTCTAATTTCATAACAAATATGTCATTTTATTAATAAATCATCAAGTTAATTAACAGTTTTTAATAATGTTAAAATTTTATTTCAATTAATTTCAGATAATTTTAATATTGTATAGGTGAACAGTTAGAAATTTCATTTTTTCAATTAATTCTGTTAAATAAAAAATTTTGACAGGCAATTCAATTTTTAAACAAACCTCAGGAGATGTATTTGTAATTTACCTATATTTTCAAGAACTTAGGAGAATCAATTAAAAACGTAACAATTAAAATTATGTTAAACAAATTTTCAAACACTTGATATGCAAGAGATGAACAAATAATTGAACATGTGGTGCTCAATGATTAAAATTAGTAGTGGTAAGCAATTTCAAATAAAATTCAGCAAATAAGTAAGCAATAATGAGAGAGAGAGAGAGAGAGAGAGAGAGAGAGAAGAGAAAAAAATCAAACACAACGATTTTAATGTGGTTCAGTCTCTACCTATGTCTACGCCTCAAGAGCGCTCCTAGAAGATTTTCATAATCCACTAGACTTCTCCTTCAAGGTCGAGAGACCTTTTACAAATAGCTGGAGTTTACAACTCTATAAGGATGAAGACAATCCTACTTCCTTCCTACAATGGTTACAACCCAACCCTTCATATAAGTGTGAGTAAATGAAAGATTTGAGAATCAAATAAAAAAAAAAAAAAAAGAAAGCTCCTTAACGAGGAGATTTACAAACAAAAGCTCACACAAGGGAATTTAATCAAAACATGAAACAAATAAGCTTAAAATTAAATGAGCTAGAGATGGAACATATTTCACATAGAAAGCTTCTAATACAAGAGATGCCTGTTATGTAGCCACTGAGAGATAGAGATAGTCCAACTAGCCGTTATGAAGTAGCCATTTCAAAAGTGTTGATGCCAATTTGAATTTAGGAACTGCTATTGGTGAACATTGAATTTTGGCACAACATTCTTTTGTAAGTAATTAATTTCATTTATTTAAAGTTTACAATGTAAATAAAAAAGTATCCCCCATTTGAATTTAAAGAAAAATACTAGAAATCAAAATCCAAATAATTAATAAATGGTTTCCCTAATTTTAGTACAAAATAATATTTTGACTACAATCCACAAAACGTTATGAAGACCCGGATATTATTATTCTTATTTTTTTTTTAAAATGTCTTCTTTTTTTCCTTTTTTATATTATATTAAAGTTTAATATTTTGATAATAATCATATGTGTTAGACTTTTCAAAGATCTAAGTCATTACAGATCTGTTTCAATGATATTATAGATCTATTTCATCATCAACAACAACAACCATAGATCAACAACTATCCCAAAAAAAATCTGTAAATAGAGAGAGAAAGAGAGAGAAATTGACAAAGATATATACACAAATCTGTTCAATCTAAGCACAGATCTGAGGATGAGCGTCTTCTTGTTCTTGTTCTTCATCGTCTTCTTGTTCTTGTTCTTCATCGCCTTCTTGTTTGACTTTAGGACTGAGATTAGGGTTAGAGGAGGAGGCGTAAAGAGGGAAGCAAAAAGCAGAGAGAGAGGGGAAAGGACTTTTGGGTGTACTAAAAAAGTTATGGGATTAAATGGTGTCCACATGTTTCACATGGGACCTATGGGTAATTTTCCCCCCCTCCTCAAAAAAAAGAGTCTACTATATACAAATTATAATATTTTGTAATGTTGATATAATTTTGTGTTATAATCAAATTACTTTCACCATTAAAAAAAAAAATCAAATTACTTTTAATCATATAACTAAAGAGATCATGATGAATCATAACGAAACACCACTTCAGGCATAATCAAACATCACTTTATTCATAACTAAAGATCTCTTCAATTATAATCAAAATAATCATAATAGATCGTAATTAAATTATAACCAACACAATAGGTGGTAACCAATCATAACCAACACCCACTTTTTAAATTTTCCTTTTATCTTTATAGTTTGTATTTAACTTTACAACCTTTCCATGTCAATAAATACAATAATAAGTCTAACAGATAAAAACATGCAAAATTTCAATCAATTGCAAATTGTTATATACAACAAAGAGCTAAAAAAATAAAACACAACTATTGACAAACTAAATATTAATATATGTCTAATTGGTCTCAAGTCAAAATTACATGGTGGTCAAATTAAATAATTCTACATGTTAAAGTGATGTAGTTTTTAATAAATAAGCATTTGGCTAATCCAATTAAGTCAATTGTCACATTGAGATGATCAAACTAATAATATTATAATACACTATTAAATTGATATTTTTGTATTTATCTATAAATAAATAAGAGATAATTATAAATAAAAAATAAAATAAAAAAAAGTTGAAGGCTAACAATACTTTCGTCCACCCACAAATAGATGATCTCTAAATGTTTTTACATTCAATTATCTATACATAAATCAAGTAGAGAGAAAACCCTATCGAATTAAAATTCTAAAACGCCGAAGAACTTTTCTTTCCTAAGCCTTTGATTTCAAGACAATTATTCTTGACGAAACTTTATCAATCTCTATCATACTTAAAATTTAGAGATTCAAGTCAAAGTTCATCATGAAACCCTATAAATTTATTGTCCTCTTTTATTAAATTGGAGAAAATTCTATAAATTTGATTTGAGAATACTAAGCTTTGAAGTCATGGTCTTACGTTTCGTCGTTTTTTTCACGCTACTTGGAAAAGATTCCACTATTTGATTTGAAAACAAACCGTCAAGCCCTTGAGTTAACTTATCTGACCATCATCTTATTCGTTGAAGGAGATTTTCTATAACAATTCTGGTTTAAACCTGACCCGTTCATTGTTTTAGATCCTTGATTCTTTGTCTTGATGGTTGTTCATGTCTTCTTTTGTCTCATTCCTTGTTGAGTTTAGTTATTGGAGTGTCTTGGTTGCATTTGAAACAAATTGGGAGTTAGTTTTTCAAAACTTTTGCTGTCCAGATTTTGGTTTGTTCGCTCGAGTGAACTTTGAGAACTTCCAGTACTTTTGCAGGTCTGCAAAACTACTAGGAGTATGGCATTCTTCGCTCGAGCGATGTTTCTTGCTCACGAGCGGTCTTTCTTGCATTCGAGCAGTGTTTTAGAACTCGCAGTACTTTTGCAAGCCTGCAAAAGTACTGGGAGTGTGGTGTTCTTCGCTTGAGCGGTCTCTCTTTTTGTGTCTGGTCGCTCGAGTGGTGTTTTGGTCACTCGAGTAGTCTGCGCATATATCAGTTCCGTAAAGTCACTTTTTGAGTCAATTTTTTTATTTCTCTCTCTCTCTCTAAACATTTCAATACCTCATATCTTATCTCTCTCTCTCTAGAAACCATCTTTCAACCTCAAATACACTTCGATCTGGTGGTTTCTCAGCCATCGCCCTTTGGAGTAAAAGATAGAGCACGTCGAGGGCTTCGTTTTGATCGGAGCATCTAGTGTTTTTGTTACCATCCAATTCTACCCATCCTCTATTCGTGTCTTCTACTTTGATGTAGGAATTTCTCCACACTTTTGTATGGTTTTTAACTTAGTTATTTGCTTTTCTAGGCAAGATTGTGATTTGAGAATTTTTGGATAAAACCTAGGTTTTGGCTTTGAAATCAAAAAATAGGGTTTTCAAAATGGTTTCTTGGAAATGATTGTGGGATTGTAAATGTGGTTGAGTTGTAATAAAATGATGTATTTTTATTCTTGGAGTTGATTTTTAAAGAAAGGGGATTTTACCCCAAATTGTGAATATTTGATTTTGTAAAGAGAAAATGGAATTGATGTTGGTTTTATGAAATTGGAATGGTGATGATGATGGTAGTAGAGTTGGATATGAATTATCACTCCTATTTTGCAATGTTGGAAAGTATATCTTTATTGAAAATTATTTATCTATTTAGAGACTACAACAAAATTGAGGTTTTACGACTTCACATCAACGATATATAGTAAATCCAAGCCGTGGTTTCTCATTCTTACGACTTGTTTTTTTTGCATGTCATAAATAATTTTCTAACCACGACGTGTCTACTGCGTAGGTTGTAAATACTAATAACGATGATTTTTTTACAGCTTGCAATGTTAACTATAAATAATAAAATTTTCTACGACGTGCATATGGCTTACCGTTAATACATCAACTATACACGACAAGCGTACACCAGCTGTTAAAACTATTAAACATTTCACAACGTACAAAAAGCTAACCGTTAAAACTTACACTTTTCACGATACACGAAAAGCAAGCCGTTTAAAATATTACACTTTTCACGACACGCAATTGCTGTTGTGAAAGATACGGCCAAAATATAAATAAATAATGCCAAAATAAAAATTTGGAGTGCCAAACACCAAAAAAAATTTAAAAACAAAAAAAAGGAAGGATAGTGAGGAAGCTGTTTGATTAGGGTTTCGGGGGTATGAAAGCTGAATCGCCCATCAGTTGTGGTCAATCTGGAAAGACAATCACGAACCCTAGTTCTTTTGCTGAGTCTATGGAAGCTTTTAGAAAGAAACTCAACATGAGGAAAGCCACTGTTTCAGGTGTGAATCATGAAGACTTAACCCCTTTCTTTTAAAAGGAAATTTCGACTCCGGCAGCTGCACTAAACTTGTTAAAATCGAGATGGTCCGATAAAGAGGGTAGTGAGGAAACTGTTATCAACCGATTTAGGGATTTACCTGATAGCTTGATTATAGCTAGGGCTAGGAATATGGTTTCCAATCTGGATGAATAAGAGATTGTATATGAGGACATAACGTCTCAGAAGCTTTCAGATCTTGAAATGGGCATGGATAGGGTGAGCCCTAAGGCAAGGAGTTCGAGTCATCGAGAAGATCTGGGGATAAGAAATGTTTTCGCTCAGATGGGTGGACGTATTGGTCTACAACAGGGGATACGAGGTGGAAGGGGTGGAAGAGGTGTTAGGCAACAAACTGGGTTCTTGGTAAATCAAAGCGAGCAAGGGAAGGGTAATGATGCTGCCAACTCTATCCCAGTGGCGAACCCAGTTGTGCTGGAGAAGAAGACCTGGGCCTCGGTGGTAGCTACAAATCAGAGATCTGCTGTGAAACAAAGGTATTTTCCACCTGCTAGCAATACTGACATTGTTGTTGATCTCCCACCTCGGGAAAACATTGAAAAGTGGAAAGCTTGTTTGGTTAGCCATTTTTTAGATAGAAATCTTAACTTCAACCATGTCAAAACAGCTAGAAATTATTTTGAATTTATTGCATTTGTATAAAGAGCTAGAAATTTGGTCACAAGCAGATGATGCAGTATCTTCATGGAACTTCATTTCATACCGTAACTGCTAACTTATATGTTCTCTTTATTTTAAAAAAATTCACAACCAAATTTCCCTTTTAATAAATATGGGGCTATAAAATATGAATTTATATTTATTTCAATAACAAGATAAGTTAATTTGTTATTTTTATGTGACAGATTATTTCTGTGGCTACAATTCCACAATTCATGCGTCAATCATTGAACGATAATACTACAGCTGACAAAAGTGACTATCTTTGGTATTCACTAAGGTATTAAAAACCTTTTGTTTTAAAAATTTGTGATCTGAATCCAATGGCTTTGATATGTTTGATATCTTAATAACAATTCCTGGATACTTTTGCAGCACTAACATTCAAGGTAGGTCCCAAACAGTTCTTCATGTGGAATCACTTGGCCATGCCCTTCATGCTTTTATTGGAATCACTTGGCCATGCCCATTTTGCAATTCATATTTTCTTGGATTGTAACTACTTTTTTTTTTCAATCAGTTACTTCAGCAAGCAGGTGTTCCTTAATTACTAATATTGTAGACTTGAGTTATCCTTCTCTAGTTGAACATTTAAATATGGCATATCAATTGCATATGAATTCAAGTACCCTTAATTTTTTTTTTTTTTAAAAAAACAAAATAAAATGATTCAATGAATTTTACAAGTCGTGATAAGATTAAAAAAATGTATTGCTTCCCTATTGTATCTAAGCATCATAGGTAAATATAGGTTTTTAACTTTCTAATGAACTTGATGTTTTACTTCTAATTTATGATCGGACTTTGGGGGTGTTTGTTTCAGTTTTTTAGAGCCAACTTATGGCTTTTAGCTTTGAAAAAGTTATTTTGGACTGTTTGGTTAAATTTATTTCAAACAGCTTCTGATTCTAACAGCTTATTTTAACTCAAAAAAGTTGATTCTGAGAAGCTGCTCACCCCTTGCTTCTGATTATCAGCTTCTGCTGTGGACATGTTAATTTGTGGTTATACTCTTAAATTTTTTTATTTTTTATTTTTTTAAAAATAGAAAAAGACTCAAATGGACTATACATTATTATTATTATTTTTTATGAGAAATGTAGATAAACAAAAAATAAAAATTAATTGAAAAAGCTATTTCACAGCTTATTTAACAAACACTACTCAGCAACTTAAATCTATAATCCAACAGCTACACCAAACAGATTAACAACTTCTGATTAAAGTCATAATCTATAATCTATTAAGCTATAATCTATAAGCTGTTTTAACAGCTACACTAAACGGGGCCTTTCTATCCTAACTCATCTTGCTCATTCCATGGTTTTCATCAAAATTTAGTATTATAAAATTGGCTGATTGCTTTTGTTTCAGGAGAGAGAATGCCAATTTGGGATTGATATAAAAAGGGCACAAGGGTGAGAAGTCAAACGAATGTTGGAGGATGAGAACTGCCTCTTTCGTGCTGTTGCAGATCAGCTATATGGGGACTTTGATACATATGACTTGGTTAGACAAACGTGCATGGATTATAAATTTATATGGTGTCACTATTCTTATGTGACTTCCTATCCTTAGAAGCTAAAGTGTATATCTTTCATTTTTATGTGTGTAGACACCCTATTTTTGACCGCCCTTAAAACTTGGGCGCTTTATTCCGAACACCCGATGATGAAAATTACATTGTGCAATCATTTAAATTCTCAGCGAAGAAATTTGGGTTCAAGCTCTAATTCCAAAGCTTGCACCCCATTTTAGCCAAACTATTTTAGACTTAGAAACCCTCTTTTCAAAATATTTTTCCAAATGCTTCTATGATGTCTGAGGCTCGCATTTTGTTTAAAAACATTGCACTTTTAGGTAAACTGAGTAGGGACAAAGTGGAAATGAATGGAAGAGAAGTGAACTCTTTAAAAAATCTTTTAAAACTTCTTATTTATAGGTTTGGAGTTAAAGAAAATAGAAGGGGTTGGAAGAAAACCAGTTAAGAAAGGTGAGCATCAAACCATTGAGAAAGAACTGAGCAACCTTCACAAACCAGGCCTATCTCTTTGCACACTTAGACTTTAGTTATAAGGCCACCACCATTGGAAAGTAGACTTCCAAGGTTTCAATTTAGACTCAAGAATCAGCTAAAATCGAGTCCGGATGAGGGAGATATGCTCGTTTGAAGTCGGGCCTGAAGTGCAGTCATTGAGACCCGGCCAGGTCTACGTAGACCCGGCCAGGTCTATGTAGAACCGGCCGAGCTTTAGTGAAAATTTTTCTAGAGCTCTTTTTTGGGCTGACCATGCATTATTGAGGCCCGACCGTGGGTTTTGAGGGCCGGCCGGGCCTCGATGGCGCCAAACAGACAACTGGCGGGAATTAACAAATATCTTTGTTTGAAGATATTTTTTGGACCAAATTAGCTCAAATTCTATAAATAGGACCTCCCACTTCAGATTTTAAGGTTAGAAAAAACTTTCCAAGAGGCTTAGATATTGATGAGCCATCCTTGAACCTCCTTGAACCTTCAAGCCTCTTTTCTTCTCCAAATCAACTTTCACCCTCCATACACCATTAAAGCTTGGATTTGAAGCTTTCTTGTAGAGAATTTACAACATATTTTCATAGCCTAGAGGGTTAGGAAATATTTCCAAAAGCTTTGAAGGTTTTTGAGAGCTAAGAACATCCATCTCCCTTCCAAACTTCATATCACCTTTTAACTATACATACACAATACATACACCATTGGAGCTTGTTTTTGAAGTTTTTTTGAGATTTTAAAAAAGTTTCATAAACTTAAGGGTGTTGGAATTGAGTTTATTAACTAAGAGCTTACCTCTCTTTCAAAGGTGTAATTTTGCACTTTCTTCTTTCATCTTCTTCTACTCCTTTCCACTATTTTTCTCGTCTTTATATACTGATTTTCAGAGTTTGTAAAGGCTGAAAAACATGATTTAAAAGTCTGAAAAGTTTAGGGGTTAGCCACCTTTCCTTGATTTTGCTTACTAGCTTTATATCTCTTGCGTTTGCTTATTTTTTTGTGCTCTTCAAACACATTTTTAGCCACTGTTTTTGGGCTGTTTTTGGACTGTATTTGGACTGTTTTGAGGCTGAAACATGTGATTTAAAATTGCAAAAAGTGAGGGGTTAGCCACCCCTCCTTAGGCTTTGTTCCATGACTTTTTCTCTACTCTTTTTACTTACTTTCTCTTGGTCTTAACTACTGTTTTTTTGCACTTTAGGGGCTGTTTTAGGGCTGTCCTAATTTATTTAATTACTTCAAGTTTTGATTAGTTCATTTGTTGTCTCCTAAGTTTACTTGTATAGCTTGTTGCATGTTGTTCTAACTCTTCTTCAACTCATTTCTATGTTTAATAACCTCATTAAAATAATCAACTTGCCACTCCTTTATTATTTCATTTGAGAGTTGTTTCAAGTGTTGATGGTTATTCAATACATGAACTAGAGTGTTGCGCTTAATGGTTTAATCTCTAAGGAGATTCATTGTCAATGGTGTAATCTCTCTTTCATGTTGAGAATTACTTCCCATTTGACGATTCTCTCCTTTTAGAGGACTTAACCACCATGGACAAATGGACTAATGAATGACAATGACTAAACAAATTGGTTTAAAATTGGATCAACGCACATAAAGAAAATGGCTGGAATTGCTTGAACTTGGCTGAACATTATGCCAAGTTTCTTGTGTCAAGAGTTGTCACATGCTAATTCATGACATTTTGATGATTCTTGAAGCATCGCAACCTCCCTCTTTGAGTTTATTCCATGACAAGAGAGAGGGGTGGTCTCATTCGTTGCATTTCATTGATTTTTGTCCAAGATTGCATCCAAGACCATCAAGCAAATCAAGCAATCAATTTGCTTATTGATGGCTTTGGAATCAATTTCAACCTTCTCTCGAGGCTTTCCCATGACAGAGGAGGAAGAAAGGGACAAACAGAGCTTGAGGACACTCTGTCTGCACTGATTCACCTCAGAACACAAAAAGAGTTTTGCACCAAATTGATACAAGGCCAGCCATCTGTAGGCCCGGCCGGTCATCAGTGATGCACGACCAGCCCTCAGTGTGTGGCCAACAGTGCAGTTTTGCAGGAAACAAAGGCAATGGCTGAAGGTGAAACAAAGGCGGCATGGGCAGACAGAGTAGCTCTCAGGCGTTGTGCATGCAACCTTCATCCATTTTCACTTACGCATTTTGTCGAATGTAATTAATCTTATTGTAATTAATTCGTTGTAGCTAGTTAATTTTGTAAAGTGTTGTAATTAATTAGTTAGTTAATTATTTATTCAAATTTCGTTTTGTAATTAATTAGTTAGTTAATTATTTATTCAAATTTCGTTTTATAATTAATTAGTTAACTAGAATAGTTAGTTAATTCATTTCATTTGTAATAGTTAGTTAAGTAAATTAGCTAGTTATTCATTCGATTTTGTAATAATTAGCTTAATTAGCTTAGCTTAATTAGTTAGTTAATTAGCTAGATTATTCATTCGGACTCTTCTTCCTGAGAGTGCAATGTAATAATATGTATGTCTTCCAATCCCACGTCTTTCTCCCTTTTATTTACTAGCTTAAGATGGTTAGATTAGGGACATCATGTTTTGATTAACATAACTCATGTTTGCATCCATTGTATTCCATGCACCGTGACTCGGTTCATCATTCTAGCTACATTGTTGTGTAAATACTTCTTTGAATACGTGCTTAGACCGCATGTTATCAAATTGTTTAATATGTCATGTTAAGTAGCCGAACCTAGTAATTGCATATCGTATGTGTTGCATTACTTATATTGTATAGTTAGGATCATGCATTTTTCTAAATTTGTTTCTTTTTTGGCTTGGAGTACTAGGTAAGTTTTTATTTGCTTTAACATAATCGCATGCTTGTGAATATTGATATGTCTAGCATGCTTGTCATGAGGCTAAATGCTTAATTGGTAAACTACTTGAATGGCTGTGAATGAAGGCTTATTGCTTGAATTGGAATAATTTGAGTAATATTCATATGCGATCACTTTTTCAAGTGATACATATTTCGAAACAATTTTGCAAAACAAACATGACTCAAGATGTTCCAATTCTTGCAATTGAGTCTATACTTGTGTGTGTGTGCATCACATAGTAAATGCTAGCCTAATAAACTGGAACAAAAGCATATAATGTTGACAAAAATCATATTATAATTAGTAGAGGCCGATCTTTGATCGGGCAAGTAGGGGTGCTCAATTCATGATCTTCCCCTCTCGTACCTAAGTTCCTGAGCCGAGACAATCTTGGTAATGACGGACACGTGGTCTTTGGCAAGAGTCATGGTATAGCGACCCCGGTCTTTCCCATTTGATTATTGTATCCGGACTTAGGTTCCGTAGATTCTGTCATTGTATAGTTGTTGTTGTTGTCCTTTATTTTCTCTTTTGGAATTATAGGATGTGTTGGGTAGGTTTGTTTCAGGTTGGTTGGGTTTAGAAACCAAGTGTTGCTGTCCAGGTTTTTGGTGTTTCGCTCGAGCGAGGCGTTGGTCGCTCGAGCGAGATGTCGTTTTGGTTCTTCGCTCGAGCTGGGGTTTGGTCGCTCGAGCGAGAGATGGCGTCCTGTATGGACCTGTAGCTTTGCATTCTTGGCTCGAGCGAGCTTTTCTTCGCTCGAGCGAGTTAGTTCATCCTTCGCTCGAGCTATAGTTCCTTCGCTCGAGCGTGTGTCTGGATTCAGACCGCTGCGGCCTTGTTTTCTGTTATTGCACAGCCTTCACTTGTGACTCGAGTGTTAGAGGCTCAGAGAGGTGACTTTGAGGTAGAATCTCTCCGTGAGAAGATTTCCGGTGGGAAGGTTGAGAAGGGTTTGACGGTGTATCCCGACCTAAGTGTGAGATACCGTGACCGTCTGTTTGTGCCGGAGTCTTGCCGAGAGGAGGTACTCCGAGAGTTTCATCATTCACGCCTTGCGGTGCATCCGGGAGGCACTAAGATGTATCGGGATTTGGGTCGCCAGTTTTGGTGGCGGGGTAAGAA